TTGTTTCTTTTGTCTTGTTTTGGGTTGGATTTTTTTTCTTAATATTCCATTTTATCTTCAGTCTTGGTTTATTAGCTATGCCTCTCTGTTTTTCTGGTTCTCATCTTTCTTGTTGTTGGCATTTCTGTTTTCATTGTTGCTCTAAGACTTACAATATACATCCTCAACTTACTTCAGTCTCTCATCAAACATCATACCACCTCACCTACAGCATAAAAACCTTACAACAGTATACCTTCACTTCCCACTTCCAATCTTTTGTGCCATCTTGTAATACATTTCACTTTTATAAAGTCCTCAATACATTGTCATTAATTTTGCTTTAAGCATTTTTAAATGAGAAAAAGTGTGTTTATATCTACCCACCTATTTATGATCCTTGATACTCTTTAGTGCTTTACATAAATCTGATAGCATTCCTCTACCGCCCAAGGAAAGTTTATCATTTCTTTTAGTTCAGATCTACTGGTAATGAATTTTCTCTGATATTGATGATCTGAAAAAAGTCTTTACTTCACCTTCATTCTTAAAGGATACTTTTCATGCAGATATAATTTTAAATTGACAGATTTTTTTTCCTTTCAGAACTTTAAAGATTTTGCTCCATTATTTTATTAATTTGTTAGGGCTGCCATGCAAACTACCACAGACTGGGTGGCTTAAACAACAGACATTTATTTGTTCCTACTTCTAGAGGCTAAAAGTCTAAGACCAAGGTGTTGGCCAGATTGGTTTCTTCTAAGGCTTCTCTCCTTGGCTCCCAGATGGCCACCTTCTTGCTATGTCTTCACATGGTCTTTTGTCTGTACATTTGTGTCCTTACCTCCTCTTCTTGTAAAGATACCAGTCATATTGGATTAGGGCCCAGCATATGATCTTATTTGATTACATCTTTAAAGACTATCTCCAAATAGAGTCACATTCTGAGGTGCGGGGGGTTAGGACTTCAACATAGGCAATTGGGGCGTGCACATTCAGCCTGTAACAATTATTTTTCTGACAAGAGTGTGCTATCACTCTTAGCTTTGATTCTCTGTATATTATGTCTTTTTTTTTGCCCTGTTTTTAAGATTTTTCTCTTAATCACTTTTTTTAAAGATTTATTTATTCATTTGAGGGAGAGAGAAAGAGTGCAGAGGGGCACAAGTAGAGAGAGAGAAACTCCAGCAGACTCTGCACTGAGCACAAAGCCCAAAGGAGGGCTCTATCCCATGACCTGGAAATCATGACTGGAGCTGAAACCAAGAGTCACAGACTTAACCAACTGCACCACCCAGGTGTCCCTCTCTTTGTCACTTTTTCTTCAACAATTTGGTTGGGATGTGTCTTGGTATGGTTTTTCTATGTTTATTCTTCTTGAAATTTGTTGGGATTTTTAAACCTGATGCTTATACTTTTTATCAAATCTCAGATATGCCAGCCATTATTTCTTGATCTATTTTTCTGTTCCTTTACCATCCCCAACATTCTCCTCTCGTTCTGAGACTCAAATTTTACATATGGTAAAGAATTTTATTTTAGTTCTTAATTTCTTTAGTCCTTATAATTCTATGCTTAGTTTTAGACAGTCTCTATTGCTTTGTCTTTAATTTCAAGTTTTTCTTCAATGTAACTAAACAGCCATTAATGCTATCCAGTGTATTTTTTTTCCAATACTGTATTTTTCATTCTAGAAGTTGCATTTGGATCTTTTTTTATATCTTCCATTTCTTCTTTGCTTTCCACTAGTTTCTTGAACATATGGAACATATTTCCAGAGATCTTAAAATCTTGGTTAATTCCATTATAGTTGTCATTTCGTATCTGCACCCATAGAGTTTTCTCCTGAATAAATGTTATATTATCTTACTTCTTTGTATGTCTAATAAAGTTTTGTTGAATGCCAGACATTTTGAATTCTACATTATTGGTCCTGGGTTTTGCTGGATTCCTTTAAATCAATTGGGACTTTGTTCTGGCATGCCTTTAATTTACTTGAGAGCAATATGATTCTTTCATGGCTTGCTTTTTAAAAAGATTTTATTTATTTGTTTGTTTCTTTATTTAGAGAGAGAAGGTGAGAGGGGGGCATTGGGGAGGGGAAGAGGAGGAAGCTCAAGCAGACTCTGTGCTCTGACACAAGGCTCCACCTCATGACCTTGAGATCATAACCTGAATGGAAATCTAGAGTTCAATGCTCAACTGACTGGGCCACTCAGGGACTCCTAAAGACTTACTTTTAAGTGTTCTCAGAGTGGGTTCAAATTGGCTTTTGTCTTTGAGAAGGTGCTGAATGGGAAGAAGAATCAAGTCCCAGGGCATAGTGAATAAACAGGAATAGGACTCAGGAGACAGAAAAGAGCAAGAGGAATGAGCTAAATCAGGGAGCCAAGACCAGAGACCAGCAGACCTGAGAAATTACATTCCTGCAAAAGTCAGCAAATATTTAAATTGGGTAGGGGTGGGAGGAAAGTTGTGTTTATATGTTAAACTGAGCTAGGTTCTGGGCTTAGATGATTATAAACAGGTTTCTCATTTATATTCAGAAGTAGAATGTGATGTGGGACAGTCTCTTGGTGCAGGCAAGCATCCTTGGTCTCCACCCACTTAAAGGAAATAACCTGCTCCTTTTGCTTACCAAAATTGCTGCTGAACATTTTCAAAATGCCCTCTAGGAGGCATTACTCCCTCCATTGAAAACCACTGTTTTGGGATTTCAGGATTTGAAATATGCTTCTTACTCAGCTCTTTCTTGGCCCCAATTCCTCATCTTGCCACACCAGGAGATTCCCAAGAGCCCTTTTCTTTGTATACTCTTCCTGGATGAAGAATTCATTCAGTTCTGTGGCAGCAGATGCTTCCCAATGCTCGTGATTCCCAACTCAAATTTCCAGCTTTCCCTTCTGTCTGCCTCTTCCTCTCTGTTTAAAGTCTGTTCATCCTTAAAGGCTCAGCTCAAGTGCTGTGCACTCCATGAAGACTTCTCCCTTCCTCTTGCCTTTGGAAATACCGCCTAAGGCTTAGTTCTTAATTGTACAGAATTCCTCAAACTGTAGTGATGATTGGCACCTAAAAATCTGGGAAATGGCTTTTTTTTTTAAGTAAATGAGGATTTGAAGGCAACATCCTCAAAAAAATATTTCACTGAGCTTCGTCAATTATTTTCATTTACAAACACCCAATGTTTTTAATATACATTGTAATGTGCATTTTAACAAGCTTTCAGAGGGATTTTGTTATAAACTGAAAATTTAAGATCCGTGGCCTTGGTCATTTATTTCATTTGCATCCCAACTGGTATGTAAACCCTTTGAATGTAGAAATCCTCTTTAATGGTTGGAAGCTAGCTCCATGCTGAGCACATAATTGGAGTTTTCAGTTTCCAATATCAGGCATTAAGGATTAGTGGGACCCAAGTGTCTTGTTGACAGATTTTAGTCTTCTGCATAATCTGGATCAGCCATACTCTTTGATATATGCAACTGATTATGTTTTCTGGGCCTTATATACAGTGCTTCAGTAAAATGCTCTATCAAAGAAGCCTCGGGACAAAAGACTGGCCTTTCTTTTAACCAGTTTGCTGCTCATAATCTCAACCTATGCAGAAATTCTGGAGCAGCCACTGCCTGGGACACAAAGAATAATAAAACTGGTTCTTGTTTTCAAGGAACTTCAAGTCTAATAGATGAGAGAGATAGGTAAACAATTGCATAATAATCAAAGCATGTAAGAGGTACAGAAATATTGGTGGAGTCAGGAAACTAATATCTGAGTTGAATTTAAAAGAATGAGTAAGAATTAATACTCAACCAGGCTGGAAAGAGCAAGCCAAGCAAGAGAACTGCCTTTGCAAAGGATAGACAGGTAATTAACAGGGTTTTATCAGAGAATGAATAGTAGGTACAAGAGTTTGATGAAAGAGAGTAGTGAGAATGAAGCTTCCTCCTGGCCTTGGGTTTTCTCATGGGAGATTCGAAACACTGGTGGGGTATATTTGTGGGAATAGACCCTTGAGGCCACTTTTTTTCTCCCTTTACTCAGAAGCAGACAGTTCCAGATGGCATGGCCCCAAGCATCTCACTTTTTCCAGCACAGCAGCCTCTAAAGCCCCTGGGGCTATACCTCTGGTCTCCACATTCACTGGAGAGCAATGATTTTCAAAGAGCTTTGATTGCCACCCCCAGGAAGGAAGAAATACATCTTATGCTGTGACCAAGAATACACATATGCAAATATGAAATTGAAGCACGATTTCTACAAAACAATATTTCCACTGTTGCCTGTGATCACTTTGATATTTTGTTTCCTTGTCTATTCTATTAAAAGAAATTAAGGCTGGGTGGCATCCACTAAGTTGATCTCACAATCCAGTGAGCCATAACCGGCACTTTGAGAAACACTACCCTGGGACTCACATTTTAGTTTGGAAGTGTTGAGAAACAGCAGAGTATGGTGGCTAAAGACTTAAAACTCTGGGAGCAATGGCCCTTTTCACCTACTTATCTGTGTGGTCTTGAGCAACTTAATCTTTCTATACCTCAGTTTCTTTGTCTGTAAAATGAGATAAGAGTAGCTACTGGGTAGCATTGTTGTGAAGATTAAATTATAGATACAGATAAAGATATAGACATAGATATATACCCAGAAAATTGCCAGCCGTCTACTAAGTGCTGATTAAGTGTTAGCCACCAGTATCTTCCTCCTCTTCCTGCTCAGCATCATCATCAATGATGCTTCTTGTTATCCTATCCTAAAACGAAGAAGCCAAATGCAGCACCACTGGTGGGTGGGGGTGGGGACAATACCAAAAGTTTTATTTATAAAGCTGTACAAAATTATGCAGTGTGTGGGGGCAGGATGGAGGCCCTACTCTTGCTGCTGCACCCCTGTTTCCAGGGGAGAAGAGGAGAGAGACTCCTTTTTTCCATTCATGGTTTAATATTCCAAATAAAGTGACTGCTGCGTCTGAAATGATCCCTCTGCTTTCGACTAACAAACATTTTATTTCGTCGCTCACTTTTGTGACCACCTAGAATCCCACACTTCCAATGTGCAGAGAACTTCCTTCTTACCACGCATGTTGGGGACCATTAGAATGTCTATCTGTAGAAGGCAAGATGGAATTTTTTTCCTCACCAATTCAGTGAACTCAATCCAGTAATGGACAACCCAAAGGGGGGTTAAAAAAAAAAAAGAAAAGCAAAAGCAAACTTTTCAATTATGCCAAAGGCTGGCATGTTTCACCCATATCACTCAACACCTCTCAGATGTTCTGATGGTCAAACTAATGAACAAAAGGGGTATCTGCCACCTGATGGGTGGAAACCAAATTCAAGGAAATTCTGTCCATCACTCAAAGGAAATTCAGGAAATAAAGAACAGGAGGCCAGGAGTAAATATTTCATTGGTCATGATGATCAAAAGATGATGGTTAATACACACACACTCAGACCTCATCCCACCTGTTGCAGGGCAGAAGCAACACCTCCAGGCCCCCCACCCTTTCCCTGGGCTCTCCTGCCACACCCTGCAGCCACTGCCCCACCCAGGACTCCGCCCTTCACTTGGTATGGCTACTGCCCCACGTGCAGCTTCCCTCAACACGGTGCCTGGACGTTCACTGTGAAGAAAAGCCAAGTACTTGACCTGAGTCTGCGGTGGGCAGGGTTGCAGTGTCCATGAGTCTTTCTCTATCTCCTTTCCCAAATTCTCTCCTTCTCTCCCCTCTCCCACCCCATCATTGTTCCCCAGAAACAAATAGGATGGCTTCACTGGTCAATTCTTTACATATACAAACACCAAAAGCAGAGGAAACACCCCCTGGCCACCCCCCTCCCCCCAAACCCCAGTGCTGGGAGAGCAGCCGACGGCCCGACGAGGCTGCCTCAGGAACTGCGGAGCTGCTGGAGCTGTCCGGCTGTTCTGGAAACTTCTTTGGCCTCTGGGCTTTACCTAGAGGCCTCTTCCTTCAGCTCCTTGTTTTTCCGCACCTCCTCCGCGTGCTTGTCCTGAGAAGGAAGGGAGTGAAAAGGGGAGGTCACATGGGCTTCCCTGGGAATAAAAGCAAGCCAAGGGGCAAGAGAACCCAAAGTAAAGAATTGTCGTCACAGGAAGTGAAGAGCAAGGTCTGCAAAGATGTCCTGAGAAGGGGCAGAAGGTGGCAGGTGAGACTGGCAGGAGGCAGGTGAGCGAGCCGGCTGGTGTGGCCCCGGGGGAGCTCATGGACTGGGGCCAACCTCCCTTGGGGGGACCCACCTCACAGTGACCGCAGAGCCCACCAGCGCCTCCCTCCTTCACCTGGCCATCCTGGGCTTGCACTGAGTGCATGGCTTGATTTAATATAAGGAGCAGCTCAGTGTAGCTACACCCAAGGAGCACAATGGAACGGACAGGCCTCATTACAAATGTCCCCTCCACACACTTGCCACATGACCGCTGCTTTCAAGTGCAACTTTTTCAGTCCCTTGGTGAAAGATGAGGGCTCTTAAAGTATAAATTGAAGAATTTTTGGAAATGTCCCCCAACTCCAAAAAGTGGACTCTCTCACAAGTGGTGTGTGAGAACCCTCTTCGTCTAACAATGTCATCAAGCCAAAAGATGGGATCTGACTTCAAAGACCCATCAGCTGTGTGACTTTGACCAATCACTTCACCAATTAGGCCTCAGCTCCCTGGTTTTTAAAGAGAGGGCTATGAACTGGAAGCTCTTTCTACCTCTAAAATTTTGTGATTTTAGTGTTCACCTCTAGGGCACGTCATGGTCTGCTTTACATCACTGCTCGTTGTGATCTGGCTGGGTCTTCTACTGGATGGTAACTTTCCCATAGGCAGGGAGCATGCCTTTTTCTTCTTGGTATTTTCTAATTCCTTCTACTTTGCACGTGGCAGGTGCTCAATAAATATTGTCTCTGCCAGACCCTGGCAATCATCCAGATAGCATCATTTCCAAATATCAAAAATCAGCCTGGAGTAAGCCCACAGAGCAGTCCAGGAGCCCAGGATATACTTGAAACTATGAATCCATCCCTGAAAATGCTCTGGAACTTTCCACGGCCCTGGGAAAAGTGTGAGTCGTGGTGTGTCTAGGGTAGTGGTTCTAAACCTTATCAGCATGACCTAGGGTATTTGTTAAACTGCTAGGTTCTCAGGCACCATCCCTGGAAAGACAGTGTCAGTAGGTCAGTGGGGTCCAAGTGTCTGTAATTTTAAACTTTATACCAGGTGAATCTGATGTAGATGGTCAGTGACCCAGGCAGGTACTGACACAGAAAGCACTGACTTGGGGCAGGGCAGAAGCCACACACCTGTCTCTTTTACACCTCCTGCCTTCATCAGTGGCCAAGGGTGGATAGGGGTCATGATCCCAAAGGAGTGATGCTCACTCAGATTTTGACTCTGACATCTTGCTTCTTTGAGTCTTACCCCACCTCCATAGCTATTACTCCAGAGTGGGGACCTTCTCAATCTCTTCCCCTTGGAATCAATCTCCATTCAGCTGAGCTCTCTGGGAAGAGCCCTAGATTTCTGGGCTCCCTTTCTTTGGTCTCCAATGGTCCTCTCTCTGACAAAAGGCCAACAGGATGATTGTGGGTTGGTCCCCCTGAAATAGGGGTTTAATGAGTCCCTTGGACTTACATAGCTAGAGAACTATTCCCAGATGCACTAGTTAGCGGCTTTGTGACCCTGACCAAGTTATTTGACCTTCTCTGACATGGTTTCCCCATCGATTAAATAAGGATAACACTGTTCTGCTTACTTTATCAATTTGTTGTGAGGATAAGAATATGAAGAAGTAAAAGTGTTTTTGCCATTTTTGAAATACCATATCGTGGCTCTATCCTCAATTATTCCTTTTGGGTTTGGCTTGAGAGCCCATGTCCCATTTTATGGCAATCCCAGATTTTTTTTCCTGCAAGAGTTTGTTCCTAGCCATCATCCCTCAGTAACTGGGGAAGATCGAAATGAGACCCAGATTACTTCCCTCCCAACTGTATACTTGGTGGAGGCCTTACTGCTCTTAGAAGGGTAGAATGTGAGAGCAGAAGGGCTTGCCACATGCCAGCCAGCTGCAGGGCCTATCTACAGATCTTTCTCCACAGATCCCCTGTGAAGAAGCCAATCTTTCTAGTAGCTCTTGTCAAGGGCCTGAGACTCTGGGTGGATGGGCAGGAAGGAGTGGGGACCACGCTGCTCACCATGGGACGAGGCCACCGATCGGGTCCCGGGAGTCACCGCGCAGCAGGCGGCTCCTGGAAATAAAACACAGAGCTGGAGCTCTCCCAGGAGCTGCAGGAGAAACTGGGGCAGCCTTGAGACTCAGGAAATGAGGCCAACGTGTTCTCAGCAGAACGGGCTGTTATTCTGCTGACACGTGGGACCAATCCTAGTCTCTCACGTTTCTCATATGTAGGTGACACCATTTGGTTTATTGACAAAAGGTAGAATATTGGAAAGACCCATGACTCACTCAGTCCATATCAAGAGGTTTGGAGAGAATCATGTTTCCTGCTCAATGGTCAACTCAGCTTATCATGCCCTTGGCTTAGCGCCAAGAGCCCAAGTCATCATCTTTCATTAAATCAAATCTGTCCATTCAAGGATGAAGCCAGGAATGTACAACTGCTTATTTGTCCTTACTCTCTTGCATTAGGCAGGATTTCTCTAGAAGATAAGAGGTCTAATCTCCCTAAGACAATGAGAAATTTCAGTTGTGTAGCTGCGCGTAATATCCCCCAAGGAATTCCAAAGCTCAGCTCATGTTTCTTGCCTATGACTTCCTAAAACATCACTTGGGACTTTGTAAGGATCCAGCCTAATGGAAATACCCCCTTTCCTACCTGAGATTGTTTGCTACCTGAAATAACATGCACGTCCTTTATACTTGCCATGAAAGGAAGAGAGTGTTCCAGGAGTCTCCTCTCTCACCAAGATCACTTACCTTCTCTTGCAGCCGTTCCAACATGGCAGCAAGGTGGGCCTCCCGGTTCTCCTTATTGGATTCCATCTTCTGAGCCAGTTTTTCCTTAGCCATCTTGATGAAGTTGTTGTTCTCCTCAATGGCTTTTTGGATCACTTCCCGCTCGTGTTCTCGTTTCTCTGCCAGGTGCTTCAGAAGCTCAGCTTCCTGGTACTAAGGAAGCACAAAGGGAGAAAGAGGCCCTTGGAAGAGAGCTCTACACCCAGAAGACACATCTCGCTGAACCTGGTCTCTGGCCCATTGGCAGGAGGGAAGGACACTTTCTGGATTCTCCCACTATTTCCTCAGTTGTTTTTTTTTTCTCATTGCCTTTATTCATTCCCTCTTTCCTTCATTTACAAATATTAAATGACTATACATGTATCAAGCACTATCCTAGCAATTTGGGAAAGAAAAAAGTCTAGTAGAGGTAACACATATATTCATAACTCTAACCCAGACTAGCATGTGACAAATGCCTTAAGAAGTAGAGAAGAGGGATCCCTGGGTGGCGCAGCGGTTTGGCGCCTGCCTTTGGCCCAGGGCGCGATCCTGGAGACCCGGGATCGAATCCCACGTCGGGCTCCCGATGCATGGAGCCTGTTTCTCCCTCTGCCTATGTCTCTGCCTCTCTCTCTCTCTCTCTCTCTCTCTCTCTCTGAGTGTGTGACTATCATAAATAAATAAAAAATTAAAAAAAAGAAGTAGAGAAGAAATGCTATAGAATTCAAGAGAGAAGAAGATTATTTTCTGCTTCAAAGATGAAAAGCTTACATAAAGATAGCATTGGAGTTGGACCATAAGAATCAATAAGAAACTCAGAGGGTATAAAAAGGGGTGGAAATATATCGTACCATGACCTTCTCCTTCTCCCAGTTAAGGAGCCCTTTCCTTAATTGCCAAGTCTTTCCGTGAATCTTTAGTATTTGTCAGTGTCTTCCTCTTGTTAGTGTGTATATTAGGCTACCTCTTGGACATATGTAATATAATGCCTTATCCCTCTAACCAAACTGTACTCTCCTAGAGACTCACTTCCTTGTTTCCCTCAATGGTGTCTCATTATCTACCTTGTAAATGAGAGGTGCTACCTAAATATTTGTAGGTTGGTGGTGACCTGACCCCAGCTCAGGGCCACCTCCTATCTTCTCCAACTCCTTCCTGTAATGCTGAGTTGGAAGAAAGAAAGGGAGAGCACTTACCTTCCTTCGCTCCTCAGCTGCTTCTAGTTTCTTCTGGATCTCTTCCAGAGATGGGTCTCGCCGCCTGGGTAAGGAGGCATTGAACTCAGGAACCCCATCAAAGGAGGGCGGCTTCAGGATGACTTCAAAGGACTGGCCCGAGGTACATTTGTTCAGCTCGATGACTTCCATGTCAGAAATTACACACCAGTTCAGGTCCACTGTGTCTGCTGTGTAGAGAGCAGGAAAGGGGCTGCTCACCCCCTGTAGACTAGATTGGCACCCCAAAAGCATGCACACATGCACATATATATGGGAGATCTGGGGTCCCCAAGGCAAATCAATGACCAGTGTTCTGGGTTGGTCCTGAACCTGGCACCTAAGGTCAATGGGCTCCAATGGGGCTAAAGGGTTGGTAGCCACAGCAAGCACTCAAGCTCCAAGAATAGAGGTCCCAGGATTTGTGGTTTCTAATAATGGCTGTAGCAAATGCTTTTGCTTTTGCTTCTGCCACAAGACTCCTCCCATACTGGAGTTCTTGTTTAAATTGTCCTCATTGGTGGCCAACAGTGGTACATTTGCCCACCACCCACCACCCATCCACTCCTTGTCCCACTACCAATCTGATGGCTCAGCCTGTTGCCACCTCTCCCCTGCTCCCTCCTACCCTGCTCTCTTCTTTCTCTCCAGTCAGCACTGTCTTTCCGCTGGCTTTGATCTTTCCTCCTACACTGTCTCCCACACCAGCCTAGACAGAAAAAACAATCTCAGGTAACCCAAGCACTCCCATCTTTCATTTCCAGAACAAACCTGTCCCTTTCTTTTAATCCCTGGAAAATTAAGGGGTGACCTGTTCCCCATCCCTCCCTGAGCAGAACATGGTCATTCAGTGCTCCCTGCCATTGTCCTGACACAATCACAAGTCCCTGTCAGCACGGCCACATTCACTGGGTGGCTGCAGGCGGAAGTCTTCTCTCCACCTCTGGCCTCTCAGAGCATTCACAAAGGAGGCCTGTCAACTTGGAATCTAGTGACTTACACTGCATCTTCTCTTCTATTCTAGGTGCTTCCCAAGGGCAGAATCTGTCTGTTTCACCTCTGCATCCTCCAAAGCATCCATTTGTTAAATGAATGAAGAAAAGCTAAGATCAAGAGTGCTCTGCAGAACATCTGTCACAGACTTTCAACTGCTATCTAGTCCCCCAGCTACAGTCCCATATCAGCCCTCACAAGCTGCTTAGGCCCTTGGAAAAAGTTGTGGTGATTTTACTGGCTATGGGAAAGAAAATGTGACATGGCGAGAAGAGTTTAATGAAATTGGACAGGAGTGTGATACTCATGGATATGAGCCCAAGAAACCTCCCCAAGTTACTTTCCCAACAGTGGCCCTCACTTACCTTCATATTTATAGGATGATTTATTCAGGGGATCAGCTAGAAAACAGGAGCAGAACAAGGACACCAGTGGAAGCTCCTTCATCTTCTCTTTATAGGCTGTAGAAACACCAGTAGGACAACACAGTGACCCCTTCTAGACTCAGAAGTCAGCCTTCATCTCAGTTTGGGTGCCTAGGCAGCCAGAGATGACCAGGCTCCACAGAGGCACCCAAACCACCCAGACCCACCCCTTGCCTGAGGATCCAGCCCCCTTTGCTCTGAGCAGCTTGGTTTAGGTTTCCTGTGTGTGATTAGACCCACTTCTGTCCACCTTATTTAGAACCTGAGCCTTCCAGAGCACCTGCATGACCCCCTCCTGCTCAGCACATTGTTTCCCTGACTTAGGTACTTTTTAGTACCGAATACAAAATGCCTTCAGGTAAAGACCACAAGAAGTAATGGTTTTGCCCCAGCCCAGCACCCTGGACCTAGTTCTCTATTTCTTCACACTTGCCAGGATATTTCATTTACTTTGCTCCAAGATGCAGGAAATCCACACTCCATTTTACTCAAATTACTCAGCAGTGTTTCTCTGAAAGGTAAAGAAGCTCACCACCATCCCTCCAGTCTTGCCCCTCACTGAGTGGCAAGGTCAGGAGTGAGTCTTCTCTGACATTCCCAGCACAGTGGTCAAAGGGAGAAGTGCTGGTGTCCATGAGGGCTAGAGGAGTACCCCCCTACACACACCATCTAGCCTCTTTGTGTCAGAGAAGGATTGAAAACCATGACATCACAGGTTACACCTGATATGGTGAAGTCTGGCCCCCACCTTCCCTGGCCCTGGCATGTGCTCCTGCCTGTACCCCCACCACCCTGGGGCCACTGCGCCTTGTTTTAAGCTCCACTATGCTCAGACTCTCTCTGTTCTCAGCTAAACCCAGCGCACTGCTTAGGCAGTCTCCTCCTCATTTCCTTTTACAAATTGAAAACATAATTAAGTGTAAAATAATACATGTGCATTGTAAAACCTTTTTAAAAACACACATAGATGAGTAAAAGGAAGAAACGCTCAATGGTGATCCCGCCCACTGTCAAGTGATAACTTCTTTTAACCCTTGGGTGTACTCCCTGTCAGTCTTTTACCCTTCTCGGTGTCTATGTAAGTACACATATAATACCCTACGCTGTGGTGCCCCATCATATAAAGAGTTTATGTACGTACCAGCGAGGGTCATGTTTTCTGGAATGTGAAGCCTGAATCTGGTTGAAAGTCACAGAGTAGGTCTATCCCCAGCTCAGGATGCTGTCACAAATCTGAAAAAGAGAATATTTTACCACTGACAGGCTATTCACATAAGGAAGCTCTTTAAAGAACTAGAGAGTGAATCCCAGGAGGTTACCAGTCTGCTCTCACCTCCAGGAACTCTACACACCCTCTATCCCTTTTCTAAACACAGACCCCCCTCTTCAACATCACCACAATCAAGTTCAGTTTCCATGAGCTAATTTTTTTAAAAGATTTTATTTATTTGAGAGAGAGAGAGAGAGAATGAGCAGGGGAAGAGCAAAGGAAGGAGCAGAGGGAGAGGGGTAAGCAGATTCCTTACTGAGCAAGCAGCCCAGTGCAGGGCTCTAAGATCTTGACCCAAGCCAAAGACAGATGTCCAAATGACTGAGCCACCCAGGTGCCTCTCTGTGCACTAATGATAGTTTCATAATTGGCTTTCTAGTCTCAAGCCCCCCTGAGCATCAGACATGGATTTCCCAAAACTGTACATGTCAAGAGGTATTTAGTTTTCTCTCTGTGCAGCAAAGTGGCTGGTGCAAAGCAAAGGTTAGGATCCTAAGTCAGAATCACTTGAGAGATTTTCAAAAATAACTGTGTCCTGAATTTCTCCTTATTCCCACCCCATATCTCCCTGTCCAGCCTGTTCTATTATGGGATCAGAGGGAACTGGGCAGAGGATGTCAAAATACTACTTCAGATGGCCCCTCACTCACTACCCACCAAGAACCTCTGTCTTAAGCACTCCTTGATCCCATTTAAGATAACCCTGGACTATGAGAGAGACTAACATTATTATAGAATAATATCATCATAATGTGGTTGGTGCAGAGATGGAAATCAGCATGCAGGATTATTGTAGGAGCATAGAGATGGGGCTTCATACTCAACACAAGGCCCTGAGGAGCCATGGAAGGGGCTTCTGGTGTTAGCAGCACCTGAACTGAGTCTTAAATGATGAGTTGGAATTAAGCAGGGAGGTCACTGTGCCAAGGGAGCAGCACAAGCAAGGGTCGGGGTGGTGAAAAAGCTCTGTGTCTATGGTTGATGCTGGACCAGAGAGTATGAAAGAGGAGGGAAAGATGAAACAGTAGATGACAGGGCTCCACTTAAGGCTGCTAGCCAATGGAGTGAGGAGTAGCCTCACTCAAGTTGTCATCATGGGTACCACTTGAGCCTTGGCCACTGTGGTGGTTAATTTTTGTGTCAACTTGACTAGGCTAATGCCCACATAGCTGGTGAACATTTTTTCTGGATGTGCCTATAAGGGTGCCTTGGGGATAGGTTAGCATTTGAGTGGATAAGCTGAGAAAAGATGTCCCTCACCAATGTGGGTGGGCCTCACCCAATCTATTGAAGGCCTTAATAGAACACAAGATGGAGAAAGGATGAATCCACTCTATCTGTTTGAGATGGACATCCATCTTCTCTTGCCTTAAAACATGAGAGCTCTGGCTCTCTGGCCTTCAAACTTGGACTGGAATTATGCCACCAGCTTTCCTGAGTCTCCAGCTTGTTGGTGACCGATTGTGGGATTTCTCAGCCTCTGTAACCGCATGAGCCAATCCATCATAATAAATCTCTTTCTATATGCATCCCGTTGGTTCTATTTTTCTAGATAATGCTGACGAACACAGCCACCCTCAGTGGTCACTGTGCCAGCAGAGGGTGGCGTGAGCCAACAGCTTCACTGCCTGCATCTCACAAAGCAAAAGACTCTGAAACTGATGTAGAGCCCCTTTCCATCCTTAATAAGGTGTTTTCCTTCTGGCGACTGGGGTCTGTACTGGCTGAGGATGGGCAGGGGAACCAATGGGAGCAGGAGGCTCAGCTTTAGGACCAGGCCAATGTGGAGTCAAACAGACTTGATCTCACTTGTAAGCTGTCACTCACATGTCCAATTTGCTTTCTCCATCTTAATTCTGCACCAAGTTACACAAATTAAATGAGAAAAGCATATGTACAGCATCTAGCAAAAAAACGGAGGTATTTAATAAATGTGAGTTTCCTTTCCTGTATCTTTTCCATCAGAGTAGCCACCAGCCTCCACACACCTGCTTCAGAGTCACTGTCTCTAGTCCTCACCAGCCCTGCAATTAAGTCTATAATCTCCATTTGCAGTTAAGAGAACAGAGGCTCAGAGGGTTTATGTGGCTTACTCGGGGTCATGAGGTTAGAGAGTTAAAAAAGCAGGGATTTGAAGCCAGGTCAACTGGTCTTACACTGCTATGTTCCCTGCAGAGCCTTCATGTTCTTTGGAGCCAGAGGCCCCTGCCAGGCACCACCCTCTTCACTATGCAGCACAATGGGCCTCTTTCCTTAGAGTCGGGCTGATCCTGACAGTACCAGTAGGTCCTTGGACAGGGTTTGGATGTGACATCCCTGGTCACGAGGCTCCATTCCACACTCTCAGCTCATAACCAGGCTGATTGATGGGGTGACTGGCAGGGTGAGTAAGCCCTTGCCAGGAGAGGGAAGAGCATCAGATTTCACCTAGGTAATACAGGGTCCAAGTAAGGGAAGTGAGGCAGAAAAGGACACTCTTGAGAAAGAGGAGGGACCTTCTATAGGAGTAAGTACCTAGAATGAGGGACTGTGCCCCTCAGTCCGAGCTGGGAATGATAATTAAGGCCTTCTGCTCATGGAGCACAGATTACAACTCCTGTCACTGACATTATCCCAGTTAATCTTCCCGTGAGGCTGAGTTGACAAGACAGGCATCATCAGCTTCACTTTCAGATGAAGGATCTGGGGCTCAGAGAGGTTAAGACTCTTAGCTAAAGTCATACAGCTGCTTAGTGTAGAGTTGGCTCTGACTTTTAAGCTCTTCCCTTGTGGCCAGGGGAGGGACTGGATGCTAGCTGCAGGTTCCTCCAGGGTCCTGGGGACTCAGGGCATGTCAGTCTGGCCTGAAGATATGGTTTAACTAAACACATCAATAGGCACTTTCTCACTTCTATGGAAGATATTGTGCTAGGAGTTGTAGGATGGTGAGGAACCAGGTAGAAAACATGGGTCAGAGAGGCCGAGAAGGAAGACCAGGGCAGGGAGCAGGAGACACTCCAAAGATGAGCAGCGGTATGCATAGCCAAGGGATTTGTAACTGAGAACTCTCTTTTCACAGGGCCAGAGTTCACATAATCAAAAATGTCTATTTATAGAGTATCTACTATGTGACAAATGCTTTCATTTTAATTTTCTTAATAGCCTTACAATGTAAGGATTGTTGTCCCCATTTTATAGATGTGGAAATTGAGATTGAAAATCAGAGAGGGTAAGTGACATTTCCAGGGCCACTCAGGTTAGTGGGTAGAATGGTGTCCCCCACTAAGATATGTCCTCATCCTAACTCCTATGACTTGGATATGTGACTTTATTTGGAAAGAGTTTCTGCAGATTTAATTAAATTTAGGCCCTCAGGGTCAGATCATTCTGTATTATCTGGGTGGATTAAATATAATGACAAGACTCCTTAAAAGGAACACACAGTGAGCAGAGGCCATTTGACGAGGGAAGCAGAGATTGGATTCATGTAGACACAAGCCAAGGAGCACCTGGAGCCGCTGGCAGCTGGAAGAGGTATGAATGTTTCCTCCCCCAGTCTTTGGGAGAGTGTGAACCCTACTGATACCTTGATCTTGGATTTGTGAATGCCAGAACTGTGAGAGAATTAATTTGTATTGTTTTGAGTCACTAAGTGAGTGGTCATTTGTTACAGCAGCTGCAGGAAACTAATACATGCATAAGTGATTGAGTCAAGGTTTAATCTCATGATTCTTCCACCTTATCTCAGCTACTAATGTTTTATATACAATTGATTTGTTCCTTAAGATAATCTGTATGTTTGTACTTATGGGTACACAGAGCCCTTATAAACCCTCATGCCATAGTCACATCATTTCTATTGCATTCAAGACCCAAAAGATGTTTCTACCCATGGGGCATTCTAAGAAAGAATGGAAGGGGACAGGAGGGATGTCATAGATTCTTCTAGAGGGCCAAGCAGTGAAGAGGGGTCCTAAGCCATTGGGTGGTGGCAGCCACAGCAGGGGCTCTGACTTTGCTCCTCATTAACATGGAGGACCAGAGTTGACTGGAGCCAGTCATTCCTGCCTCCCTAGCATCCAGCCTAGCTACATGAGGACTACAGGTTGTCTGGTGGGTTAGACCCAGATTGGATGCACACTGCTTGGAAGATTTAGTTATGCTAATCCATGGCCTAGAGACCCTTCAGAATGGCTCTGAGGCCTCTGTTCTCCCATCTGAGAGCACCAATAGCTCAGGCCATTCTCCTGGGCATGTCCAATCAACCCAAAGGCCCACAAACCAGCCTTAGTCTGTAGGCCTTGTCCCTACAAGCTTCTCACAACACTGTGGAATCCATTAAATGACTTGGTGTCTTGGGTTACCTTGGGTTATGTTGTCAGGCCACAGCAAAATACCTACAATGCAGTGGGGCAACCAGGCCTGTCCTGTGACTACCAGAGAAGAGAGTTAAGGGATGTTTTTGCTCAAAGTTACAGAGGATAAAATGCCAGGAATTAAGGGAGGCAAAATGAAAATTAAGAAATAATAGAGGCCAGAGTAGACATGAGTCAGGCCCACCAGGGGGGATTGTATCTAAAACATTACATATCAGAGCACCATGAGTCAAAACTCTGTGCTGAGGCAACCTCTGGCCCTCCCAGAGACTCTTTGCATGGTTTCTGTTATGGCAGAGGCCAGTCCCAGGTAGCACCTGGGAAGACCAGAACTATATCCAGCCATAACAAAGATCAAAGCAGTCGCCAACTCAAAGTAGATGACTTACACTCATTCAGCCAATAGCCACAGAACCAGAGCCAACAACAGTGGCCTCCTGACTCTTGCCTAGTGCTCACTCCTAAGCACTTTTAATGGGTGGCAGACTGCTGGTCAAGAGGCAGGGCCTCCCTGGGCAGCCCAGGCAGTTATCAATCCAGCATAGCAGGTGGTGAGAGGACTCAAGGTTCAGATGACAAAGTGAAGCCCAGAGTGTGCTGGGCTTATT